AATCTTTCACTGCTTTATCGCTATTACCATGGAAAGTGCTAGGATGAACTGCATCTTCTGGTTCCACCAGGTTTGAACTTCACGGCTAGGACCCGACATGCCACTTATATTGTAGTAAATCAACAACATTTCCTCCATATTCCATCGGCGAGAAGTAAGTTCCACTCAAACAGCTTCTTCCAGCGAACCACTGTCCTATGGAACAGACACTCAAGAAGATGTTTTCCCCGATTACTAAAATCTTAAACTGTTCAAGTGTAGAGTCAACCGTTACATTCCCTTCCTATCCATATAAACTACCCCTTGACGTAAACTTCTATCTTGAGTGGCCCGCGGGGCCTCATATAGTGTGAGCCTTATTGTAAAAAAATCAAATTAGGACAAATACTTGCTGCGGGAGGTAAGAATTTGGATTGAGTTGGTTTATCTCATCCGTTTTATTACGGAACGGAATAACATTCTTGTGAATACTATGTCTCAAAGCATCAATGCCCTTTTTTAACTTTTGTATGAAATACTATGGATCTGTCGAGAAACGGGAAAAAGGATCAGTAACTACAGGGTGCCGAGTCAAAAAGCGGTAAATTTAGAAAGACGTGAAACAACAGTCGGATGTTCTTTGAAATGTGCGATAACTTAACGCTCAAAATCAGTGAGTTATTTAGTCACACGAGAAGGACAGAACGAAAAACGAAAGTTGTCTGTAAATAACCTTTAAATGACGAGTTACATCATTGAGCAGCTATTAATCAATCATAATAGAACCAATCACAGTTAATTCAGAGTCGACTGATGATTCAAGGTCATGAATAGTCAAGAAATTTATTCAACGTTATTCAAGGTCAATTATTCCTGAAAGATAAAAATGTGATAATAAATTTGTCTGATTTTTTACTGCCCCCCGCCCTGTATAATAATGCTTCTTTGTCCTTGAAAGTGATTAAAATTCGTCTTCTTCACAACAAAATGAAAATTGTTTGTGACTCCGGTCAATTCCGACGATTTATCCCCGAGGCCTTGCGGCGTACCTTTTTCCTTACGCTTCATAATTTATCTCAGTATCGTGCATACGCTTCCATTAATCAATTCACGAATAGATTTGTTTGGTGGCGTATGAAGACAGATAATCGGTTTTGGACAAAGACGTAGGTTCAATGTCAAAAAGCTGAACTTGGAAAACACATTCACACACCTCCTGTCTTTTTTTTTTTCTGTCACTCGATAAGCGGTTCACCGATTTGAATGTCGAAATTACGGAGACCCCCACATCATTGTGAAGGTGATACCTATTTGCCAATATCTATTAATAATTATTCTTGTTAGTGGAAAACATTTTCATGGCGGATATTTATAGTTTATATTTATAGAACGGGTACCGGGTTTGTCGTTAGCGCGGAGAGGGGTCGGTAATTCGATCTGCAACTTTTGGGTAGTAAGAGAATCTTGAGGTAAATGACATAATAGAAATGTTTCGCCGCAGTTTTGAAGTCAGTTCTTATATTGAGCTATTCTAATTGGCTAGAGTACTTTCTCTTATTCTATTAGTCCTTCTGGGACTTCATCAAGGATAACATCCAATTTTCGTATGACGAAATGGTGTATGGCACAATGCTCAGACTTTCTGGACCTCATTTCCTTCATCGACAGCCAGGATAGCGTACTTGACATACAAGCCTTCTATGCACAATCACGAATCCCGTAACCCCTTAGGGGTACTATCTTGGTGTATTTGGCATACAAACCTTTCCTGCACGATCACGAATCCCGTAACCTCTTAGGGGTACCATCTTGATGTACTTAGCATACAACCTTTCCCTGTACGACCACGAATCCCGTAACCATGTAGGGACACCATCTTGGTGTACTTGACATACAACCCCTCCCTGTATGAACACAAATCCCGTAATCCCATAGGTGCACCATCTACTGCAGCTATAGCAGCAGTGGTGTTTCTTGGGCAAGACAGCCAGACTGAGAGCAATCCTCTACAGGCTGTTTTGAATTCACAGTTGTCCTTCTAGACCGGTTGTTAGCTTATAGGACCCAGTCTGTCCAGCTATTTACCCATAGCTGGGAGGGAGAAGAGACTGATTCATACCTTTCCCAAGGATATTTGCACATAAGTGAATGCAATTAACTCGAGTGGAATTCGAACTCGTATTTCAATTCCTCAATCCGAGTCGCTATCCGTGCTGAGTCCCAAATCCTCATACACGCCGAAATTTTAAAACTTTTGAAAATATATTTTTGTACGCCATTCTGCTAAGTCACACACCCTGTATAGAGGCCTCTTCAAGATCCTCAAAACGCATGTACTTTACTGTGTGTGTTAAAAATTTAGTCCGGAATATTTCTTTGAACAAGCTGAAACCTACCTTCTTGGGTGCTACATTTTGGCGTGGACATTCCTCCGATTTTTCCATCACATAATACTACTGGATATTCCCAAATTGACTGACGCTGTCTAATCGCCATGTTAGATGACCCAAAATGTTGATTGTCTTAATGTTTTTTCATTTCAGTTACATGTATCGGGATTAGTTCTTTTATAGTATTGCTGGCTGACTCGAACTTACTCAGACTTTTTAACACTTTTTATATGTTTACCTATTTCGTGTAGTTTTTACGCATATTCTGTGTTAGTTTTCAGTCAACGACCTTCCTGACGCCATAGATTCCCAAGTTGGCATCTACGCGGACGACACTACAATTTACTCCTGCCTCAAAAACAAATCTAGTGTCGCTGACAAAACTAACCTGGCCGCTCGTCTTGAAATGGACCTCCAATCGGTTGTTAATTGGGGCAAGAATTGGCTGGTCAACTTTAACGCCTCAAAAACTAAACTACTCTCTATTAATCACCATAGAGATCCTTCCCTTCCCCCCATTAGAATGTCTGATAGTCAACTTCTTGAGAGCAACTCTCTGCGTCTGCCCGGTCTCACGTTGACTGCTGACCTGAGATGGAACAAATACATTGAGCCATTTGCTTCGTCCACCGCGAGGAAAGTTGGCTCTCTGTGCCGCACCAGGAAATTTTTCTCACCAGAATCGATACTTCAAATATACAAATCAACCATTCGCCCTTGCATGGAGTATTGCTGCCATATATGGTCTGGTGCACCTTCTGTTTACCTCGGAGTTCTTGACAAGATCCAGAGGCGGATATGTAATATAATTGGCCCTGATCTGGCATCTCGTCTACAGTTGCTCTCTCACAGACGCGCAGTCGCCTCTCTCTGTCTTTTTTACAAATACTTTCATGGTAATTGCTCCGATGAACTGCTTTCATTGGTTCCCAGACTTCATGAATTCAAGCGCCCTATGAGGCTGGCATCCCGCTCTCACCCTTTCACTGTAGAAACTTTTAAATGTAGCCGTCTCTTCTGCTCCAATAGCTTCATACCTTGCACATCTCGCCTGTGGAACACCCTTCCCTATTACTGTTTCCCTGAGAGCTATAATCTCCAACTATTCAAATGTGATGTCAATCGATATCTCCAGTTACCTTGATCTATCCACTATCCCTTTCCTCATCCTTTCTTCTATCACTCCTATCTGCTCTCGCTCCAAATCTTCTGCAACCCCCTGCATCCTAGTGGCTTCACGCCTTGCTCGGGGCGTAATGCTTAAAAAAAAAAACAGTTTCATCGGCACAAATTTGTTTAGGTTATTACTCTCCTTTATTGTAGCGCCTTTGTCCATAAGTGTCATTTTTTAAAAAAATCTGTTTTGGGTAGGGGTACTTGTTGCTTTACAAAACTTAATTACCTGTGAGTTATGCACATCTCAAAGTGCAGTGTCCTGTGATAATTTGGCGAGAGGGGCGAAATGTAGGTCATTTTGTCAATTGAATCCCATCCGTCAGAGCGACCTTATGTCTACACAGACTTCCATTTTCTATCGCCTGATATATGCCGTGATAAAAACACTGGCATGAAAACACGTCCAAGTTAACTTAACTTTTTTCATTTCTCGTTTCCGTATCTGCTAGTGTATATTTGGTGTGTTTCCTGGTGTGTCGCATTCATGTTCTGTAAGGATTTTTCCCGGTTGCGTGTGTGTTTTTTCTCGGCAGTGTAAGTGTAAAACAACAAAGCCTGAAAATAACCGTTCAACAGCTTTTATTAATGGTTGAAAAAGAGTGCAAAAAATATAGTTTTTGCTTTGAAAAATATAGTGTTTCCAAGTTAACAAATTTCTTAAGTTTTTGAAGAGATATTTTTCTCTGCTAGTGCCCACGGAAGAAATGCGAGTGTGGAACTGCTACGACAGGCCTCGTTTTTTACAGCAAGGGTTGGGTGTAGTTTTCCTTTGGTATATGCCTCGAAGGGAGATTTATCCGCCGGTTTCCGTAGGAGGAACGAGAAATCTGACGCCAAGCTACCAGAACAAGCCTCGTCTTCTGCAGCGAAGGTTTTGTGCATCGCTTCGAGCTGGGCTTGAAGGTAGAGATCGCTGAAAGTGAAAAATTGGAAAGAGCGGGCCTTGAATATACAGGCCGCTGAAATGGAAAATGGAAAAGAGAGCTGGCCGTGAGGTAGAGGCAGCTGATAAATGAAGATGAAAAAAATGCCGAATAGAGATCGGTCAAGGTTTTTATGACCGCTGGGACTTCCGGTTCTACCCTGCTGATTATTGCTGCTGAATCGAGCAAAGTAAGGAAGCCCCAGATGCCAAAAATAGCCAACAAGTGAGATAGTTTTTATAGTACATATGTAGTTGAAGTGTGTTCTCTCAAACAATCATACATGTCTTTGATTGTAATCCTCTATGGGCAAGGTGTTTCCATATCGCAGGCACGGTGATAGTTATGTTGGGATATGGAAGGTAAATTAATCTCCACTGGCCAATCCTAAAATAATAGCAAGGGAGGAAAAGAAAGAGTGAGTAACTAGACATATGCAAGCTACATATGGTTACTATATCCATTGTCAGTTTTTATATATAAACAAGGAAATTGGTTCTGCTAACGATTATGGTTTTGTTTCTTTCTTCAGGTTTTTCATCTGCTACCACTGCCATGTATGTAGCAGAATGTTCACCTCATCACATTCGGGGAAGGTTTATTGGCATGAGTCAGCCATTGTTGACTTTAGGAACACTTTTGGCGACAGTCGTTTCTGGATTTTTCAGCTACAACAAAACAAATGGCTGGAGGTAAGTCATGTTTATTAAATCTTATGATAGTTTTTGGTGCCTTTACAAGAAAAGTGTAGTTACAGTCATTTAAGTTCATTATTAAACTCTGCAAAGTCACAGGAAAAGATAAAGCAATAAGGAAAAGTATGAAGAATAAAACAAATGTTTAACGTCTTTTGAATTTCGTAAATGATTTTAAAAGAATTAGCATTTCTTTCTGCACTGAAAACGAAAGACCGATTCCACTGAAAAAAATTAAAAGACAAAATGCCTTACCGACGCAAAGAGTTCACACATGCCTTGCACGTAAAATATCCAAAAAAGTATAATGGCCGCCTCTTGTGTGAAACTATTTAAAGGCAATAAAGTAACGCGAAACTTTTCGAGAAATACGAAGTAGACTCTATATAACACGAAACCAATTTACTGTGGGGGCCGTTTGTTTCTTAGTCTTGCCTCACAAGTTGTTCCGAATTGCTCGTGAATTGTTTCTTTGGTGCCCCCAACTAACTTGTTTGCCACTGACGGTAGAAACTTTTGTCCACAAATTTCACGTCACGTTTTACTTTAGAAAGAATTAAACTTATGTTTAAGCTATTCGATAAAGTACGACACGATGAACTTCCTCAAAGGTTAGGAGAGTTTGATCTACATAGAAAAGATAGTTAAATAAACTGTAACTTTTACTGGTGAAAACAAATTGCATGTGGATAGAGAACGAGTTAAGTACACAAAAATAGAAAGTGGAGTAAGGCATGTATTTTCTTACTGGATTTATTGCGAATAACACTGCACCGCGAGATGGTTTTTAAAGGTTTAGACCTACAATGTTTACTATCGGCTACGTAGACAACACAGTGTTGATAGATTGAAAAGAAAAAAAAACTAAAATAAAAGCCGACGAAAGCAACTGTTGTGAACAGAATTTGCGGTCGCTATTTGGTATATTTTTATAAATGTCTTTTTTTTAAACTGTGAAAGCATGAACTTTCAAATTCTCATATCGATGAGAACCAGCGACGTGACAAATTTAATCTCAAGCATATAGGTTACGCTATTAATTTGCACAACATATTAAAGATGTTAAAAGGTACATGTTCTTTTTATCTTGCTGATTAAAAAATCCCGCCAAATAAAATTTTTACTATCAAATCCATGCAAAGGGTATTTAAACAATCAACAACCTAACCACCCAACTTCCGTTTATCAATGCGCTTTTGAAAAATCTGTTTTGCTAAGTGAGACTATATTTAAAGACTTGTTTTTATTTTTTACATTTACTGCATACACACTAAGTTACATATTTCGTTAACAAATTTAACAAGGAACACAAAGTTTTTTTCAGGACAATAGAAGTTATGTGCATTGTTCATAATAACTTCGCATTTTGTTATAATTTGACCGTGATACAAACAACACTTGTATTCTGTACCTACCAAACAACTTTATTGAAAGGTTTTCTACATTTTAGATAATCTGTGCCTAATAATATTTTCTTTTGTGTAATACGTTTGCTTAAAAATTCTGTTGAAGAATGTAACATACATTAAGCTAATAAATAGCATTGTTGAATTTATTATTTCGTATATATATTTTAAGTACTTGATCTATTTAAGAATTAACATTTTAGAGCTCGAAGAAAAATAACATTTATTCTTGAAAGCATCATATCTAACATTTTATCATGTATTAGTTCTTTTAAGTAAATGAAGAGTTAAGCTTATGTATCACCATCAAGTAACAATACAAAATATGGTATATAATCAATCAGAAAGGACACTGCAAATATATCCATTGTGTAATAAACACAGCCATTAATTTTAATCAAAGGAAAAGCATGGTCGTCAGTAAAAAGGAAAGTCCAAGGTGTGACTTACATATCCGAAACATCAAATCCAAGTAAATACGGAAAAGTTGCTGTATAGTAATAAATGAAATTTGCTACATAGAAATCTAAATGTGAAGAGCAGTGGTTCCTAAACGGTGCCGCGCGTCTCATAGGTGCGACAGAAGAGGATAGCAGGTGAGGCGAAATGGTTGAAAGACAAAGATTTAGAAACAGTTTAAAAAAATTCATATACCAAAAATAAATATGATTTCAAAATCTAAAATATTATTATGGATTACTTGTAATTGCATGCATGATTCCAAGTATAAATAATTATTGACCGATTTTATCAGTGTGATAGTTTTGCTTTATATCAAGTATTAAGAATATAGTAACTAAGTTCCGCAAATTGGAGGAGAGAATTATCAATTATAATGTCCTGACTTCGAATCCGCTGCTATCTCCCTTTAACACTCTTTTTTTTTTCTTAAATGTACCTTTTATCACATAAAATTTGGTGAGGCGCGAGAAAATTCCGAAAATGCGACCCAGAGAAAATAAGTTTGGGAACCACTTGTGTAGAGTAATAATGAAAATGCTTAGGTATTAGGTATTAGAAACGAAGAAAAGAGTTCTAGATTGATATATATTGTTTCATCTCCTATATGTCAGTGAATGAGGAACAATGTCATCAGAGATGAAGAAAAGACTTGTTACGACAGATGTGTTTCGACCAAGAAATGTTGAGAATAACAGGGACAGTTTATGTGAGAAATGAGAAAGTTTTAAGATAAAATAGAAACCATAAAGCTATTGCTGTTAACAACTAGATGGAATATTTTGAACAGATAATGATGAAAGAAGGCTTGGAAAATTTAACAATCATGTCATGGTGAGCAAGAGAAGCAGAGGAAAGCATAAAGAAAAAAGGTGGGGGCCATAGAGGAGCAAGGATTTCTGAAAGAAACAAACCTTAGGAAGTTATGGAGAAGCATGATCACCCAATACCTGAAGAGACATGGCAGAGAGAGAGAGAGAGAGAGAGAGAGAGAGAGAGAGGGGGGGGGTGGCGGGGGGGATGATAAAGGTAACAGAAACCCTAACTTGATTTTAAACAATTGTTATCACTAAAATATATTAATGATTTTATCCAGTTAATATTTAATCTATTTTTTTATATTTTCAATTATTCAAAATAATTCATGCTCATTATTAATAATTAGTCAATTAATCATTAGACTGTTTGGCAAGTTAGATGCTTCGTCTGTATCTGCTACCGGTGTTCCTGTTCAAGTCGGGATAACGAACGTCGATTTTCAAGGTAAGCACATATTGTGCCTTCAAAAGATTTGTGTAACATGCAAGGTTCTCTCTAAACTAAACTGGGCAAATATCAGTCATCATAATTATTATTTTTATTATCATTTCCTTGGATTTTTGTTATATACACATTTCTTTCCGGATCAAAAATGGCTTCATGGCATTTTCCACTTATTATTATCATTATTAATTTGCTATCTGATACAGTCATTTACGAAGTCTCTCACTTAAGACTTAAGGTTAATATTCAGAAATTGATATGGCAGCATAATTTCAAAAGGAAATGACCAAATCGCAAGTCCAAACTCGAAGATACAAGGGGCCGAAAGAAATGTTGAATATCACGAATCGCAGGTCCAATGTCAAAAATCCCAATACACGTAAACGGTCAGAAATCCAACGCACAGAGCAACACTCACAGTCGCCATGAAGCCGGCGGACGAGGTAGAAAAAAATTGTTCTCCAGTTCGAGAACACCAACCACTTTTATCGACGGAGAATTTTCTTTTCATTGGTCGACGGTTGAAGAGGACAAATAATATTAGCATATTCGAGCTGCATTTAAGGTAACAGCTGCTACTGAATAATTTTTATTTTGGTTATTTTGTCTTCGGCATATCGTACAGAACACACGTTCCCTTTTTCGCGCCAAGTGACTCTCTTTCACCACAATTAATGAAGGTTTTCCTGAGCATCTGCATACTAACGTTTTTTCAGACCAATGATTAAAAATTGCTTCAAACGAATAAATCCTTTAAATCTTAAAACAATGCTTCATTCGATTCTGTAGAATGGAGCAACAAAATGACAAAGAGCCTTACCAAATAACAAAAACCACATTATTTAAACACTTCTCACGGCAGCAACAACAAAAAGGATAGCAGATATAACTAGACGAGAAAATAATGATATAATCAAGTTGTTAACTTTCCCCACAACCTAAACCAAATAAATAAATAAACGTTGGAAAGAAACTCCAAAGAAAGCGCTATAACAGTGGACTTGAGAAGTTTAATTTCCCGAAAAAGTTTGAAGAAAAAAGATTTTATAAATTTCGACCGACAGTAACATGAATTTTTTTACCAATGAAACTTTTCATCTTTATGGAAACGGCCAATTTCACCAAAAGACATTTTTCTCAGAGAAATACTCAATAACACAACTTTTTTTTTTATTAATATATCCCCGATTTTGTAGATAAACTAAATAAATTTGAACATACAATAGAATTTACATATGGAATGGAAACAAACAATGCTTTACTCCTCTTTGATATCATAATACACCGCGTTAACAGTAGCTTAAAACTTAGCGTCCACCGAAAATCATACATTATAAAACCCAGGTTGTGTGTGTGTATGTGTGTCTGTTCGTTTATATATTGGATCGAATTTCCTGCATTTTTCAACCGATTTCAACAAAACTTCACAGGACTACGTAAAATTACCTTGCGGTGGTTCTGACAGCGCCCAAAATTGGAAAAACACAATTGTTTTTGCACGAAATTAATTTGAAAACACGATTAAGAGGCATCGCGAGAATGAAAGGGGGACAACTCATATCGAGTTATATACTTATTATAAAACCCAGGTTGTTTGTGTGTGTGTGTTCGTTTATATATGGGATCGGATTTCCTACATTTTTCAACCGATTTCAACAAAACTTTTTTTTGACAGGTAGTGTTTCTTATTGTCTTGCACACTTTTTTCTTTATTTTTACATTCAGAATGCTTTAAAAATTCCATTTACAAGACAATTGTTTATAATAAAATTCTATTCAATCGGTAGACTCATAACGATTGAAAACAATGTTTTTGTTTGGGTTTGACCAATTCGTAAAAAAAAAATTAAAAATAATTAAGACATGCGTATCCGTCAACCTTAAACAATAATCTTTGTCAACTTTATTTTTCCGTCTTTATGATGGTCGATACTTGATCTATCTCTTACTGTTACATCACCGGGCAACGCCGGGCTCTACTGCTAGTCAACTAATAAAAATGATCTCATAAATTTCTATTCTCATCATAACGACAAAATAAAACCCGGAATAATCATCGGATTCTAAAGAGCACTCAGAGGAGAAATATATTGAAAATACTTTCAAGCTACTCCAATATCCTAACTATTTCATATAGAATGCGAATATTTCAGTATACGGTATTTCCTGACAAACCCAAAGATTAAATATATTTTCTACTCACTAATTCTATCACAGCTATAATTGAAAAAGATTTATGTAAAGTCAACATAAAATTTGTCACAACTACGCCGAAAACAATAAAAGACTGAATTAATAAAAAACAAAATGATAAGCTAAAACTTGAAGAAGGCATTTACTCTATTACCCGTAATAATTGTCACAAGGAATACACTGGAGAAATCTCAATGAATTTAAATAAAAGGGATCTTTTACAAAACAACACATCAAACGCATTAGTTACTCATTGTAACCAGACTAACCACATTTTTGAGTTAAATATGTTACTCTAATTACAAGAGAAAACAATTTACTCAGACGAAAATGTTTAGAAAGTAATCATCCACAATAAATTTGCGTTGAGGTTCTTACAAACATAAGCAAAAAGAGAAGAAATCTAAATGAAATCGGCGAGACTATTTAGCCAAAAATTGAATTAAAATTAATATTTCTCATATTTTTTTAATAATGTATTTTGTGTTATGTTTTTTTAATAATGTATTTTGAGTATATAATCTAGCCAATTTCATTTAGATTCGTTTTTTCTTTGTTTCCATCTCTTTTGTTATTAAATATCCAACATTATGATAATAGGATATATAGCCAAGAATGGCGAAACGTAGGGTCGAATCTTTTTCCACTTTGTTTTACATATTTCGTGTATATATATATATATATATATATATATATATATATATATATATATATATATATATAGTGATTTTCCAAACGTAGCTTAGATGTGGCACAAGGCCGAAAGTATGGGGGCACCCAGTGAGGATCGAACTCACTACTCAGTCGTAATTGATTTAGCAAGACAAACTTTCTAACCATTACACAACGTCGAGGTGCCCTCACATATATAAGTATATATATACGTGTATGACAAATACATATGTGCACAAAAGAGAGATATTGTGAATTTAAAATTTCTTTTTTTTAATTTTTTTAAACTAACCGATTTCATTTAGATTATTTTTCTTCACATCACTTCTGGTAGTGGATATCCCTCACAAAAGTGATGGAAAGAAAACGAATCTAAATTAAATTTAAATTATTTAATCTAGATAAAAAAAAAAAAAATTCCCAGCACCCCTCGTTCGTGCGCATGTGTAGTCGCATCAATATAACAAGTTTAGTTCGATGACGTCCTAAAGTACGAAACACGTCACAAGAAAACTTTCCTCTTTGGTATACATTTTTCCCCAATATTGTTCTTAATATATAAAAAATACATATCGTTATCTCTCCCTCGCTCTTTCGCATACACAGACACACACACATATATGTATGTATAATGTATATATATATATATATATATATATATATATATATATATATATATATATATATGCATTCAGTTTTGATATATATATATTATTTATATATTATATATGCGCGGTAATTATTGAAAGCGCTCAATATCTGCGATAGAGCTAACATATTTAGTTGTGTTACTGTGTGTTTTGTGATCCTGGGTTTCACGCCCTTTGCGATCGTCAGACAAATTGAATGAAAAGAAAACAAAAAAAAAAAGAAAAGGAGTTTGTGTGTGTATATATATATATATATATATATATATATATATATATATATATATATATATATATATACAGCTTATTGAGGTAACACTGTAGTGTACATTATAGGACAAATCAATAAATATATCTTTTTAGATCTTTTAGGTATATCGTATTGTTCTAAACATTTAGTACAAATTTTAGGAGACATCTATTGATATAATGCATTACTTTTAGCAGTTATTTTATTTATTTAAATTATATTTCTTTTTCTTTTGTTCTGCAGATACATTTGGGGCTTCCAGGGAATCTTGGGTGTGATTCAGTTCTTTGGTTTGCTGTTTCTACCGGAATCCCCACGTTGGTTTATGCAAAAATCCCTCAAAAAAGAAGCCAGAGACATTCTGATGAGAATTCGAAATGGCAAAAACGTCGATGAAGAAATTTCAGAAATTGAAGCGAGTTTTCAAGAGATACAGCGATCCAATGAAAAATCTGGTAATAATAATAATAATAATAATTCAGAAACTATAGCAAGACAAGCCTCTTCATGGTCAATACTCTGCCCGAAACAAACAAGTTGATGTAGATAAATTCCGTACTCCTCAGTGGTTAAGTAGTACAGGGTTAGAAGCTGAAATCAAAGGTTTTCATACTGCACAGGACCAATGGTTGCTAACTAGAGATTACCAAGGCTACATACTGAAAGATTGTGTTAACCCAAAATGCAGATTCTGTGAAAAATATCCAAAAACAATTGACCATATTCTATCAGGTTGCACAATATTAGCACTTACTGAAAATAAAATTAAACATGATAGAGTGGGTCAATATCTGCACTGGAAAATATGCAACTTTTACGGAAAGGAAACGGCAAGAAACTAGTATGATCATCAATGAGACCCGATTACAGAGATAGGACCTGTAACAATTTTATGGGGCTTTACAATACTCACGGACAGAAGAATCAAAGCTAATCGCCTAGACATCGTGATCAGGGACTACAAAACAGAATGTGCTTTCTTATTTCTTTTTCTTATTGACATGGCAGTCCCTGCAGGTTGTAATGTATCTTTGAAGATCTTCAAAAAAAAAAAAAAGCTATCAAAATACAAAGATCTTGAAGTGGAAATCTCAAAAATGTGGCACATGAGGACATCAATAATTCCAGTTGTAGTTGGATCCCTCGGTTTGATTGGAAAAGGTTCCGATAGACTCATTGAAAGGTTTCCTGGTAGCCTATGCTTTAAAGAAATACAAGTTTATATGGTTAGCAGGGGAAGATAACGACAAACTCTAGACTTAAACAGGTTAAGATTGTAGTGATCGGGGAATTATCCTCTTGAGAGTCTGTTCCATAGGGCAGTTGTTCGCGGGAAGAGGCTGTTCGAGAGGAACTTACACATCGCCGATGGAATACGGGGGAATGTGTGTGATTTGCTAGAATATAAATGGCATGGCAAGTTCTAGCCGTGAAAGGTGGATCTGGCTAAACCAAGGAATGTAGTACGTCCGAGCACTTTCACTGGAAGTAATGATAAAGCAACAAGAGGTTCACTACACCCCAACTGTGAGAGAGAGGTTTGAGGGTGGTTAATAATTCTTCTCCAACAAGGACTTAGAGACGCTTTTGAACTCGATAGAGTGAAAAGTGAGGACACCTGCCCAAATATGACAACAGTACTCTATTTTTGCCCTGATCTAGCTCTTATAAAGATAGAGGATAGCATGAGGAGTCAGGTACTTACTGGAGTGGTACAGGTAGCTGATCATTTTACCTGCATCTTTAGCGATGTATCGTATATGCGAGTTTACCTTTAGGTCCAGTGTGAGTTTGAGGCCCAATTCTCTCTCAAGGCGCGGAGCCTCCTCGAGGAAGACATTCGTTTATCGTGACTGGCGGTAGTTCGGGTTCTGATCGGCGATGATGGAATGTCACTAGTTTCGTTTTCGAAGCATTGAATGTAAACAGTCATTTTTCCACACTAGTAAGTGAGTTCTCGATTGGAAGAGAGATCAGCTGCCAACCTGTGATCGTCAAGAGTTTTAAAGGTGCGCCCGTATATCGTCGTATCATCGACGTAGATATTCACAAACGATCCGAGTATATTCTTAGGCAGATCATTTATGTAAATCAGAAAAAATATAAAGCAATAAAAATTAATATTAATATTAACACCACAGTTATTACAACAATAAGATTCTTTCCTCTTTTTACTTAAATGATTACAGGGAAATGTACTTGAATTTTCTATGGAAACTTTAAATTTATTGTGATATAAATGCATAAGACAGAGAAACAAAGAAAGGGTATTACTGGACTGGTAAGGGGTTATACACTGGGGGTTGTGCAAACGATTGCATTTTGACCACACAATGCCCAATGGTATATTCAAAGAGCAGGATCTCTTCTAGGCAATGAAACATAATATTCTCTGGGATTTTATGACTCAAATGGAACGCCCAATCCAGGCCACAAGACCGAATTTTGTATTGAAAGATGACAAGATGCCAGATATTGAGTTACTCTAATCTGGCGATCGAGAAAACTGTGAAGGTGACAGTAATGCTAGTCGTTTTCAGAGTACTCGCAACCGTCCCGAATAAAAATTTTTTAGAAGAGTTAGAAATCAGTGAAGGGATTGGAACTATTCACTTGATGGTATTGTTGAAGGCTGCGAGAATACAGTGGAGAGTTCTGGAGTATTGAGAAGAGCTTCTGTCACTTCATCACCGGTGTAAACCTCCAGTTACTATCGGCGAGGACATCCAAATGAAGAAGAGGATACAAATGCGATTTATGATTATAGGAACAATGAATGTAGTTAATCATTTGAGCCTTTAAGGATCTTCCAAGTGCTTTGATGTGACAAGGTATATTATCAGATGCAAGTGCCTCTTATGATTATGCATTTGTTAATGATGCCCACATTTTACAAGAATCTGTAAGTGAATCAGTTATGTGTATAAAATAGGAAACAGAATCCCGATAAAGTTTTGAAGAAATAGGACAAATGGAAAACCGTTTCATTAAAACTAGATTTGATTACTTGTTTCGTCTTTTCTTGGCTTCATTAGATCCAAAAACGAAAGAAAGAAATATGTGTGTATGTGTGTGTGTGCTTAAATCATTAGTATTTTTCCGCTAAGCTGGCGTCTCTCGTGATGAAAGAAAATGAAAATGGATGACTTTTAAAAAAAGTCGTTAATATTTATTATGTATCTTTTCTTTATAATTTTTTGTTCATGTTGAAATCTATTTATATATTCTCCCAGTTTTTCTGCATTGAATTTAAGGTAAATCCTCATCCTATTAATCTGTGAATTATATCCTATGAATCAGTTATGTTCATTGTAGGATTTTAAAAATTATCATCCATGATTTCTAAAATATAAAAAAAATCCGGTTGGACCATTATTTTTTTTTTAGGTGTTGATGTCCTCATACGTATGATGAAAACCCCATCAGTCAGACGAGCTCTTATGGTTGGGTGTGGACTTCAATTTTTCGCACAGTTTTCGGGTGTAAATACTGTGATGTAAGTAAATGCAAACATTTCAAGAGGGAATTTCACAGAAAATCCAAGCAGTCATATTTACAAGTAGAAATTTCCGTTAGTTTCTTTACTGTCTGAAAAGAAAACATAGTAGTTCGTAATATTTTAATACAAGAAAATCGTTTTAGTTTCAAATGCAAAAGGATGCTACAGATTTATTGATTTCCTCTTGTATATCCATTGTTCAATCAACACGTATTTAAATTTTTTTAAGCCGATATTATTCGGTCCATGAGTTAAGATTAATGAAAATATTGTTTTTATTTTAATTTTGAGCTGGAATAATGGCGGTTAGTTTCGACAGAACGATGCAATAATATTTGACGTCGCTAATTGTTCTTTTTGTTCTTTGGTGTTTTATTTTCATCTCCACAGCTACTACAGTGGGATAATAATTCAAATGTCTGGTGTTGGTGATGTGAGTACTGCAATATGGAATTCTGTTATTATTAACTGTTTTAACCTCACATTTGCTATTGTCGGTGTGTGGCTGGTTGACGCCGTTGGAAGGAGGAAATTGGCAATTATTGGTCTCTTTGGTAAGTAAGATGACTTGGTCTTCTGAATGAATTTCAATAAAAGGACAGAGGCTTGAAATATAGCCAACGTGTTTTCAAATTCATTTAGCGCGAGTGTATGTTAATGATATCAAGGAACAAAACCCTGAAACAATCGTAATGATAGTTTCTGGAGGGATTGATGGTTAAAAAAAATAGTGAACTTGCTCACAGTCGTCACACACGTGCGCACACTCACACATTCACGCAAGCACGAACGCACACAAGCACATGCGCGCACACGCACACACACAACAAACACATGCGCGCACACACACATACAGAGTTGCCCGCGAGTCTGTACAGTCGGTTGTGTATTTAAACAACTCATTTGCACTAGGTATTTACTCTGTCTCCTCACTAAGACGAGTTGTGACACAAGGTCTTTTTTAAGGTGGGGACCCGAGCGCGTACACCCGGGCTAGGAACAAAAATTTCCAGAACCCCCGCAACCGTCGGTTGTGTTGGCCTCGGTGCGAGCACTTATCCCTCTCTCTGGTGCAATGAGAGGGCGCAGTCTCGGGCAGCTGTTCCCCAGGGCTGGGCACCTCAGTAAAATTTTCCTCAGTTGCAACTCTGTGCTTTGACAGAATCGCTCCTGAGTGCACTCTGCCCAAGGACAGAGACGCAACTGAGAGATGATAAATAATGTGTTACAAACCACCCCAAAGAGCGATTTCCACACTAAAATGATTTTCTAAGCGTAGCGTAGATGTGGTACAAGGCCGAAAGTATGGGACACCAAGTGAGGATGGAACTCACTATTCAGTCGTAATTGATCTAGCGAGACAAACTTGCTTGACCATTACACCGCGTCGAAGTGCTCAAACCACTCATTTGCACTAATGTAGAATAAATATAAATATAATTCAGAGTGAACATACATACAGTGTAACCCGGATATAAGAGAAACCCGGATATAAGAGAGATTTTCTCTGGTCCCAAATTAGAGCCTGTGTTAATGTATATAAAATAGACCAAACCCGGATATAAGAGACTTCTTCTCCGGTTCCGACAACTCTCTTATATCCGGGTTACACTGTACTTCAAATGATCTCGGGATCTGAATAAACGTAAGTCTTTTTTCCTCACTAAAGTCTTATCGTTCACTTTCAACCCGGTAACACCCTGGGGCTTTGCTTCGGGTGAAATGGCACCCTCCCCCCCAAAAAAAACACTTGTGTGAAAATATGAACAAAAAATCAATTGTAGAAGCCATATTTGTAGCCCGATTAGCTTAAAAGTTTTTTTTTTCTCTTGATATTTCGTGTATTAGGAGAAATAAGTACGATTTTGGAAAATTGAAGCAACAAAATTATTTTTCTATTCTCTTTTTTATCAGCTTCTAATACTGACAGCTTCAATATATTAAAATTGCCTGGTGCTATGATTAAAGTTTGTCTCGTTTATTTTTGAAAACGAACTTTAACTTTTATTTTTGTACCGACTAAAAACTACTTATTATTACATACATTATATATTACATAATTTGCAAGATAGGAATCTAAATCTTACATCGTAATATTTACATTTTATCTTGTAATTAATTCATGAGCAATAAATTATTTTCAGATTTTCACATTTAAGGCGTTTAATCGAATGTCATTACATTTTATATTTTCTCGAGACATATCCTCTTTGATTGTATACTTAATTTTGTTAATTTATTCATTATATTTTTCTCTAGGTTTATTCCTTAGCAGCTGCTGTTTGGCTACCACGTTCCTTATGGCCGTTATCCATTCTCCCGTGGTCAGCAGAAGAACTGATTTGTCCAACAACACCTGCTCGACGTACAGGTTAGAAATATGTTATTGGCATTCGAAATATTTGATGTTAATTAAATTGGATATTACTTTCACACGATATCCAGTGTTTAAAACAGTCAAATGATATTGCGAAATTCACATACAGAAGTGAAAAAATAAATACAGGGTGCGATGGGTGAATTGTCGTCATTTTTAATTTCGCGCATGCGCGTTGTTTGTTTTTGATTTTATCGACTTCACAGTATAGTAGGGTCAGTTGGGCACCGTCGGTGAGGGAAAAAAAATGCACCATGACGCAATTCACTCCGCCAGAAAATTTGGGAACGGCATGCTGTACTGCTTCGCATTCGCACCGGATGCTCCTATACGAACATTTCAGAGTGTTTGGGTGTCAACTTGAGGACAGTGCAGAGGATTCGGAAAGGGTTGGGTGAGTCTAATGATAAATTATGTAGGCACGGCAGCTCGGAAAACACTCTGATCGTTCTGATGCGAAAAGAACTCCCGAATTTATTGGTGAGGGCTTCAGACTCAACATGGGACCTACAACAAGCGCCTTGAGAAAGTAGTGCTGTCCTGGGTCAAGAGGGTTCCTTACATCTGGCCACCTAACTCCCCAGACTACAACTCTCTTGATTACCATGGGTGGGGCTCAGTTGAACGAGAGACCAACAAAACTAATTGTAACACCAAAAAATGAACTGAAAGCAAGAATTATGGTAGCATTCACCAACTTAAACAAGGAGACCGTCCAGAAGAGATGTAAGAGATTCCGAAGTCATCTGGAGGCCGTAATTGAAGCCAGTAGCAATTTTATTCTATTGAATAAAATTACTGAAGATATTTTTGTGTAATTTAGGCAAATATATCTGTTAAAATGAGATATCAGTGTAATTTTCATTTTTGTGTAATTTAGACAATTTATCAATCGCACCCTGTATATATTGCGTGGGAAAATAAAACATGAGTACCAAATGTCGAGTGTTATTTACCTTAGATATATAGTCACGTGACAATATAATAGTTACGTGACATGTTAAAATAAAAGCAGCGCCGAATTTCCCTTACTCCCCCAAAACAAAAACAAACAAAAAAAAAAAAAAAAAAAAAAAAAAAAAAACAGTTTCTTCCTCTCGGACCTCCACGGGGCAAACATGGCTTGACTGGCACTAGGGTAGGAACTAATTTTCGGCAACTTGCCTTCTTTCTTTTGACAACACACACACACTGTATATACTTTAAAATACTTGATGTCAGTGGCACAAAAACATGGTCTATTTAGTTATATTTTGTTTTCGTTATCCTTTTAGTAAAGAATACGGAATTACAAGCAATGACATAATTGTTTCGACGCTGTGCATCCATACATATGCGAAAATGCGGACAACAAGAGAGAGATCAATAATGGAAATCATTTAAAATTGAACTGGCTTAACAATTTAATAATCTTTATTCCCTTTTATTTGTCTTTTGAGTATTGTGGATAAAGTTACGTTTAAATTGCTATGAAATCAGTGGGTCTTCTTCAATTATACATTTGAGGAATTTATACATATATACTCAGATCATGTAGGTATCACATATTTGATAAGTACTTAAATGATTATGAGCACTATTCCTTATCTTTGGCTTGAAATCATATTTCATTTTTTTAAAAATGGACCTATTGGAAACTTACCGTCCCAGTGTAGTAATATTAAATCCGCGATACACTAAAACCTATGTACATGGGCGAATAAAAACATAGAAAACTCTTTAGCTACAGAAGCTACAATTAGTTTGTTCATGAAACGGAATGAATACATATAAGAACCTATACAAAAAGGTGAAATGAAGTTTTACTTGTGACTAAATGAAGTTTTCCTTGGTTGTACATTACGTCAGTGGTGTGGAACCGGCCATGAACGGCGACAGATATTTAGGTCTAGAATAGATGGGCAGTCGTTTCGAGAAATTGTCATCAACTGCCAAGATGACTTACATAATACGTCTCCTTCAGCCAAACAGTCACATAATGCATATCTTAACATTTTACATGCGCATAAATTATAGTTGTAAATGACAGATAATTAAGTTTTCTAACGCTACAAAGTATCATAACGAATTTAGCAAATGCTCTAATCATTGAGCTATACTCATAAAGATAAAATTAAATTTCGGTGATATGGTTTGAGTTTAAATTCTATGCTTCAGTGACATATCTAAGGTATTTGCAGACATGGTACGCGCTCTGAGCGCCACTCGAAGGAAGGATGATCGATTAGAAGATTCTACTAAAACCAGACAAGTAATCCTCGAATAATGAAAAAAAACAAACAAAAAAACAAAAGAAGGATTTTCTTCAGGTATATTATTTATGTCACGGATGAATATATTGATTGTTAACTATTTATATTATTTTGTCAAAATACTTGGGCCAAAGCAGATTCTGAGATCCTGTTCTTTTGATGTAGAAAGTACAAATTGAAAATAAAAGTTGATTTTGAGGACACCATGCATCAATTTTGATAAGTTAAATGTAAGAAATGTACAGTTCTAATTGTCATGTCATAATTTGGTAATTAAAAGATTTCACTTTAGTTTTTAACGTGATATAATATTAAAGCTATCTATAAGATGGACGTCATCGTATTCGATGTATGGACAGGAAGCACAATTCACCTGCTTGTCATCTGTTATTATGGATATATTCGTGATAGATAGCATTGTTCCGCTTCCGTACATATGTTCTTGTCTTGGATATATTCGAGACAGATACCATAGTTCTACTCAAATATGAGGATGCACCAAATAAAGTCAGAAAAATCTGTCGGATTAATAAATAAACAATTCAGTACTTTTTGGAATATATATATATATATATATATATATATATATATATATATATATATATATATATATATATATATATATTACGACGAATTACGACGGGGTGTTGAAAAAGCTCTAGGCTCGATAAACAAGGAATTCTAAAACCAGTTCTGATAGTCATTTAATAAGATTTTGAAGTAGTTTCCGGTCGAAAACTTTTCCAACAACCACTGGTAGGTATAAATAAAATTTAACCAAAATGTGTTTATTCTTTGAATTTCAGTCTCTGTGATAGCTGCATTCAAGACACATCCTGTGGTTTCTGCTTTGAAGATAAAAATGACGTCATTAATGGAATTTGTCTTCCGGTCAGTAGCAGCTTAAACACGTTGCCTGAAGTAGGGGCATGTAACTCTTCGTCGACTAATTTTGAACCTGCTAAGACCTGGGCTTATGACTATTGTCCTGTCTCTTTTTCTTGGGTTGCTGTTGTGGGACTCGCTCTCTTTTTAATGTTCTATGCACCGAGTAAGTAATATTTCGTTTGTTTTGTTTGATCTTCATTTATTCTAATCCTACATGTTGATTAATAAATATGCAAAGAACGTTTTTGCCTCTTGAACTCGTATTCCAAGCTCATGGTTAATGGCATTGGTCCCAAGGACAAATGGATGATAATCACTTGGTTGGAATACTGTATCTGTTCACTGTTTATTCTTTATGCTTGTATAAAATAATGCGTCATAAACAGATTTCACTTTGATAGCAGTACATGTGAAAATGTCACGGTTTTCCTATTTTAGTTTTCTGATGAATCATAATTTTTCTGTTAGTGATTGAATAGGCTTAATGGGTTAGTTCCTCTCGGGGAGTTTCTAACACGTTACTTATCATCTCTCAGTTGTGTCTCTGTCTTTGGGCAGAGTGCGTTCTGGGTCTACTCCGTCAAAAGACAGAGTTGCAACTGAGGAAAATTATACTGAGAGGTGCTCAGCCCTGGGGAACAGCTGCCCGAGGCCACGCCCTCTCATGGCACCGGAGAGAGAGAGAGGGAGAGGGAGAGAGGGAGAGGGAGAGAGGGAGAGAGGGAGAGGGAGGGATCGGTGCTCGCACCGAGGCCAGCGCAACCGACGGTTGCGGGGGCTGTGGGCAAATTTGTGTTCCTTGCTCGGGTGTTCGCGCTCGGGTCCTCACCTTAAATGTGACCTTGTGTCACATCTTGTCTCAGTGGGGAGACAGAGTAAATACCGTGATTGAATAGGCTCCTTGCGGGTCCCATGACTATAAAACACCCGTGAAAATTCCACGATTGCATCGTTAAAAATTTTTCACTGCTGCCCCGACTACATGAATTTAAGCGTGCCACTAGACTGGCATCTAGGTCGCACCCTTTTACTGTTGAAATAGTTCAATGTAAATGCCACTTCTACTCTAACAGTTTCTTTTCTCGTACTTCCCAACTGTGGAACTCCTTTCCTCTTACTTGCTTCCCTGATAAATACAATCTTCAAAAATGTAAATGCAATGTCAATCGCGATCTTCTGTTGTCTTGAAATCCATTTATCTTTGATTCTTTCCTCAATCCCCCCTATACCCAGGTTTTTCTCTCACTTTCACTTTTTGTACCCCACCTTGCGTACTAGCGGTACTCCCGCCTTACTTGGGGTGAAATGCTTAAAAAATAGGTGTTACAACGCGTATATTCGTGCCATTGCAAAAGATAATCGAAAAGTGTTCGTGTCCCTTGTATCGCTCCAGAAAATACCTAACACTTGTTATCATAATCTATCTCAGTGTTTCTCAACCTTTTTAAGCAATGGCACACCTAGAAGCAAATGAAAATATCACGGCACACTTAGTAAAGTTTTTAAAGGGTATACATTTAAATGTTATGATATAAAACCATAGATTTAAAAAAATTGCACACACAAATATGAACTTACTTTGAATATTAAATGAATATTAAAAAAAGGATCTAAAATAACATAATCGAAAAATAGTGTAAAGAAGTTTAATACTTATTCATTTATTCAAATACTAACGCTGTGCCATTACTATTTCTACACACACACACACACACACGCACACACACACACACACACGCACGCATATATATATATATATATATATATATATATATATGTATGCCGTGACAATGTTTCTCGGTATGCTTAAGAGTATCGTGCGGCACACAAGTGTGTCGCGGAACGACGGTTGAGAATCACTGTTCTATCTTTACAAGAGTCAGATGAGACCAAGAATGGGGTATTGCTGTCATATCTGGGCAGGTGCTTACCCAGTCCTCACTGTTCAGACCTGTTCAAAAGTTCAGAAGCGATTACACGGCCTTTTGGGTGATGAATTATTCTCCAAACTGCAATCCTTATCCTACAGACGAAACGTTGCTAGCTTCTCCCTACTGTATCCCTATTATTATGGCAGATGTTCAAACGAGTTACTTTCTTTAATCCCACCAGTTCAGGCCTTCACAGCTAAGATTCACCATGCTATGTTCCTAGTGGCTAATCATCCCCTTTCCTTTCGTGTTACTTTAGAGTAAATTCTTCATAAACAGTTTCTACCCTTCTTTTTGTGGAAAAAAATCCGAGAGGATGCTTCCCTGACCACTACCATCTTGGCGCCTTCAAGTCCAGGTTCAACCCATATCTATCCTACATGTCCTCCTATGAGAACCTTTTAATTACTCCTTTCCCTTCCTTTACAAAATTCTCGCTCAGTAAACCTCTACTGTGAGTAGCTCTTGGGCCTTGTATTGTGTAAACTAACAGTATAAAAACTAAGATACAGTAGGATAAATACCATGAAAATTTACATAAGCTGTTGTTTTTAATGGCTTAGCCTCGAAAATATCCCATTCTATGAATGAAGCTCTTGATGGCAATTTTTTTAATTAAATGTCAATAATAAAAAAAAAAGAGTAAAATTAAGATGGGTTACAGTAATTATCCCGTTAAGCACCACTGATTTGCGTGTCAGTTGCCTGACCATAGCCCCTTGGGCACCTCCTCTGGGGACCGATGCCCTGTATATCTCTGTTCATGAGCGAAAATAATGCAGAAATATCAGGGTTGGGTGTTAAGAACTTTTTTAAACTTTGAAGGCGACTTGGATATCACATCTCAATACTTGGGAACACCCTCAATCGGAGACCATCAAGGCTGACTGGGTTAACCGATGTGAATATATTTTTAATTGGGCCCAATGTTAGGCGCTGCTATTATCAAAATCTGTCATCAGATCGCGCATATTTGCTCGTGGCGCAAATGCCTGTCATACCCTTATTAAAATGGGTGTCATGACGAGTACACTGGCCTTTGTATAATTGTAGCCCAACGTTACTTTGTTGGTATGCTGCTCTCTCACACAATAATAAGTACTCGCTAAAGTTTCACACTCAGTAACCCCCTTACATCTTACTGGCTTTATTGCCTTGCTTGGAGTGAAATAATAGAAAAGTTGGTAATTGTTGGTAATTAATCATAGTCACAATTAGTACTGTAAATAAACTACTAATAATTGTAGTAAAATTTAAAACTGCAATTATATTTTTATATTTAAAAGGTAAAAGTTTCTGTAGATGCATCTTTTTGTTGTAAATTATTTCAAATATTTGTAGAAGTAGACATGAGTCTGATATGGAAAAAATTATACCTTACGTATAATACGCTAGTACTCACAATTTACGATTGGAAAATGAAGTACAAACATAATTTCAGTTGTTGATGAGACATTTGATACCAACCTGCTTCGTTTTCCACTTTGGACTAAACGAGTCGCTTGTCGCAGCCTTGTGTAGACGAGCTGACATTTTTGCGTTAACAGATCAAGTCCTGCTGCGAAGTTTCTTAATTTAACTCTTTTTCCAGAGATACAAACTCGAAGGTTTTTCAATTTACTTAAACCAATAGTAACTGGTTGAAAATCATTTGCATGTCGTGATCTATTCGTTACTATGTCCACAAATTTCTAATCTTGTTTTAGAATTTTTAGATTTTTGCGTTGACTGATCACAGCCTGCTGCAAAGTTTCGTATTTATCTCTTTTTCTCAGAGATACAAACTCAAAGGTTTTTTTAATTTTCCCAAACGAATAGTGACTGGTTGAAACTCTCTTTTTGCCTCTCATGATTTATTCGCGACTATGTCAACAAATTTCTAAACTTGATTTAGATGTTATTTTTGGTATTTTTTCTTCAAGTCAAAGTGCCAGCCTGATTGCTGTTGAAGAACAGTCTTCAACATTGGCTTTTTTTTTCTTTGTTTCTTTCTTTTTACTTTCTTTCCAATTCTCAATTTTGTCTCTCAGGAGTGGCGTCAATAGACACTCATCTTCAACTAAAACACAGTTACGAAAAATATCAAAAACCACAGCTGATGTCTTGACTACCATTACCAAAGAAATAGTTAGGCCCTTGACGACTCAAGGACCATAGCATTAGATATTACGAAGGTGTGGCTAAAAGGTTTGCTGCACAAGTACTCCAGCTATGCATTTATTGGAAGGGTCTTCGCAGTTATGAAATCCTTCCTAACGGGTAGGTTCCTGAAGGTCATTAATGCCCAGTCCTCGGTGGCCCTAGTCGCAAACGTCCCCACCCCTGGTTCACTTCTCGGATGAACCCTCTTTTTACTTTATATTAATGACCTGCATAAGAACATATTCAGATCATTTGTGAATAACTATGTCGATGATACGACGATATACAGGTGCACCTCCAAAACCCGTGATGGTCAGAGATTGGCGGCTGATCTCTCATCCGGTCTTGCACCAACATCTAAGTGGGGAAAAACTGGCTGGTTACATTCAATACCTCGAAAACCAAACCAGTTGTATTTCATTATTGCCGATCGGACGCCGAACTATCGCAAGCCACGATGAATGAATACCCCCTCGGAGAGGCTACGTGCCTTGAGAGACTATTGGGCATTAAACTCATCCCTAACCTCTAGTGCAACTCGTATATACGATCCACCGCTAAAGATGTATGAAAAATGGGCGGTTCCATGTACCGCTCCAGTAAGTACCTGGCTCCTCGGGCTATCCTCTACCTTGACAAGAGCCAGATCAGGCCTAAAATGGAGTAATGCTGCCATAATGAGGAAGGAATTCTTGGAAAATCTAATACTCACAGGACAGATTGAAGGCAAGAGAGACAGAGAAAACAGCGAATAACATACTCGATGAGCTTAAGTAAATAGATGGCAGACAGGGTTTAGGAGAAATAACGGAAAGACAAAATTTATTAAGAGCTACAAAGGAGAGGAAATTGTGGAGAGCCGTGATCGCCTACGTCCTGATGGGACATGGCACATAAAGAAGAATATTTTCTTCATTTTCCTTGATTTTAGTAACGCTGTCGTTTGGATGATTTCAATCTGTCTAAATGATTTACACGGTTCTTGGGAACTGTTCTAAGCATAAAAGGGTTCATCTGTCCACAATATTTTCAGTTCTATCACAAGGGCAAGATGTCTTTGCAGCTTTTTAATTAATTTCAATTCTACTCTGGGATCAAATCGAACATCGACATCCACTGTTTGACAAAATTTCCTTTTCTATTTTACAATAACTAAATTTCGTCTTTTAACTTGAATTGAAGGATTACTTTGAATGACAAAGTTCCGGAGAATCGAATATTTTTATTCCTAAGTTAGATTCAGGTTTCGTTAGAATTATTCTAAAAAGGCCGTAAGCAACAGATGTTATCTTTCATGTTTTCCCATTTTTGAAATGAGCAAACTGATATCTACAAGAATAACAGGACAATAATTTGATGCAAAGAATTTTTGTGAAGTTAAAAGTTTTTAAAAAAATTGCAAAAGAGGTGTATTCAGAGTAAGTCACTTTTCAATTTTTTTTCACGAAGATGCATATACACACTTTTAACATCTCACCAACAGTTTGTGCTTAGGGTCTGTATGTTGTTTGAAAAATTCACAGTGGGATCACCTTCCACATTCAGTTCTAAGCCAACTTGATGCAGTCCTATTTCCACTGGAGCAGTCTACATTTACTATTTTGGCTCTATCTTATAAAGATTTGCCGTATATACTCGTGTATCACCTGATTTCATATATAGTGAGACCCCTGAATTCTTTTGCATGAATTTTAATCTTGGGAATAAAAACTACCTTTGTATAGTGCAACCCCTCTATTTTTCACTTAAATAATGACCATAAAACCTTGCACTATATTCGTGTATATACGTAATTGTCTGTGAAACTTGACAGCCCGGCGTAAATGAAATCATAAAACATTTTAAAACACTTCAGAAAAAATACCTGTGTATAGTACGACCCTTCTCCATATTTTTCGCTTAAAAATGACCATAAAAACTCACTATATTCGTGAATATACGTAATTGTCTGTGAAACTCGAGAGTCCAGCGTAAATGAAAGCAGAGCATGTTTTTTTTGCAAGTCATAAATAATCTGTTTTTAAAATTTAAAAACTGTCAAAACAAATAAATTAGCCCAAAATATTTAACTTTAAAATTTAACAAGGTTTTACTATAATTTTCTTTGACTTGACATGTAACTGAGATTATTAAAATATCTCCATAAACATTCAAATTACCTAATATTTTCGCCTCTTTCTATATTTACACATTTTATATAACATTTGCTACTTTCTCAACCTTCTCACCCAAGCTACGTAACGTTCTTTCTTGTCTCTCTGTACCTGTAACTTCAAACGACATGAACATTCTTTCTTCACGTCTCTTTATTCAAATGACATAAGTACCAATTATATAAAAACCAAGACAATAACAAATGCAGATTGTGTGGAGATAGAATGTAGCCTATTGACCGAGAAAAAAATAGAGAAATAGTCATGAGGGCAATCCACTGATAATTACAAGCGGATCTTTATAAGCAAATGGTACAATGCACAAAACAGAATATTAGAGAATAGAAAAAAAATCCATGAGATTTTGAAATCTAAACGGATCACCCAACCTAGGTGAGAAAATCAGATCTCTATTATAAACAGGATAGACAAAATTTGTCGGACATTTGATGTTGCGTTTCCCGTGGACTTCGGAGTCAATTTAGAAGAAAATGAAAAGCTGAAAAAATATCAAAATCTCGCAAGATATTTAAATAAAATAATAATAAATAAAATATGGCGCATGACAGCTATGCGCATCGTTCTTGTCGCGTATGTAACGTTCTAAAAGAACCCCAGCAAAAAGGCTAAAAGACTGAAAATATGAGGAAAAATGAAGAAAATCCAGACGACAGTATTACTGACAACAGCTCGAATAATAAATACTGAGAAGGCAAGTCGTCCTTTGATCTTTAGTTTAATCTAGTACCTGACTCAAAGACCCAATAATAATACGAGACAACTCGTAAAGAAGTTGCAACAATTGGAAACTTGGGGAAAAAATCGAAATCTTTGTGACGACAGCATTAATTATATTAGTGGGAACATAGAGGGTACTTTCTGTCACTTGACCCCCAGTGAAAGTCAACAGTTAATTCTAATGGGAAAACTCAACGAGTACAAATAATGTCAGATTTAGTACCGCTAACACTCAGATGGCTATTTTTACCTATTTTCTTTTCAATAATAATAAAATCAAAGCTAATCGCCCAAACATCGTTGCCCAGACAGCAAACAAAAAGTGCTTCCTTATTGATATGACAGTCCATGTAGACATCAATCTTTAAAAAAAAGCTATCAAAATACAAAAACCTTGAAATCGAAATCTCAAAAATGTAGCATATGAGAACATCCACAAATTTTGTTGTAGTTGGAACCCTCAGATTGAATGGAAATGATTCCAATAGACTCGTTGAAGGGATTTCTGGTAGTAGCCCACGCCTTAAAGAAATAGAAAAAATTGTTTTTACGAGTACAGCCAACACCTTACGAATGGCTTAGCTATGTAAAATGTTTTTTTTTTTTAAATTGTTCAGTGGAAAACGTCATAATGCTATTTCTGACCTTAGGTCTCTAGTCGGGACCCGAAAAGAAATGAGTACACACCAGAAATCAAAGGAAATAATAATAATAATAATAATAATCAAAGCTAACTGCCTAGACATTGTGATCAAAGACCACAAGAACAGAATGTCCTTTCTTATTGACATGGCAGTCCCTGTAGATTATAATGTATCTTTGAAGGTCTTAAAAAAACTATAAAAATACAAGGATCTTGATGTGGGAATCTCAAAAATGTGGCACATAAGGACAACAAGAATTCCACTTGTAGTTGGAGCCCTCGGATTGATTGGAAAAGTTTCTGATTAAGTCATTGAAGGGATTCCTGGTAGCCCATGCCTTAAGGAAATACACACATTAGAAGAACTTTATCTATGTAATCTGTGTGATTTTAGTTTTTTTTTTTTAGAAAGATAATCAATGGAAAATATGAAGACATTTCCGACCTTAAGTCACTGGTTGGGACCCGGAAGGAAATGTTTATACAACAGAAATGAAAGGAAATAATAATAATAATAATAATAATAATAATAAAGGGATTCCTGGAAGTCCATGCCTCAAGGAGATACAAAAAATTGTTCTGACAAGTACAGCCCACACTTTACGAAGAGCTTTATCTATGTATTTTTTTTTTTTTGTCAGTGGAAAGTGTCATGATGCCATTTCTAACCTTAGGTCCCTGGGCGGGACCCGGAAAGAAATGTGTAAACGCCAGAAATCAAAGAAAATAAAAATAATAATAATAATAATAATAAAAATAATAATAATAATAGTTGTATCCCCATCATTCTACTGCTCTTTTTCCAACTGGACGAATCGCTTCACGGTTCCCTTATGCAGCGCAAATTAGCCAAAGTTCAGTTCCATGAAGCCGTCTTTTTGCGGATGCATCTTCCCCATTCCAAGGATAGGGATAGACTCAATGATATCCGAGTCGTCTCAGAAGGAATAGAACTGCCGAGGGAGCTGAACAATTTGCGTCACTAATCACATGTATACGTGTGCGGCTCCATGTTAATTGCAACCTTGTGACAAAATAACCATCGTGTGCGACATGTGTAGATAGAATCTCTCTTCTTTCCTGTCTTCATTAACAAAAACAACATTTATGTAAACTATTTAATGCTAATATTTTGATTAATATGAATAACATCGCATTCACCGTTATCTTTCACTTTACGTTAGGTGTTGGACCTTTGCCTTGGACAATAAATGCCGAAATCTACCCGTTGTGGGCGCGCAGTTCTGGCAATGGATTGGCGTCGATGACATGCGGTTTCTGCAATTTGATTAGTACTGCAACTTTTCTCGCCTTCGTCAGAGCGGTTCACAGTTATGGTCAGTATGTATGCATGCACGTTTGCGTGTATGTATGTATGCATGTGTGTATATTACCTATGTTATACAGGGTGTGTGCAAAAGCAGACATACAGTAATGAAAAACAAAACGTGAGCACAAAACGTTTTCTAGTGATTACACAAACATATCAATAATAATGACTTCCAGTTTTGTTTCAAAATTAATTTGCGCTCCTCATCCATTAAATTATCAATTAATGATTTTAATGAATTAAATTATTGTTAAATGAATCCGAGAACCACTATTATAATATAGGTCAAGAGAACAAAATGCATGGATGATCCCAAATTACAAATAGGAGATGCCAAAATCAAACAAGTGTGGAAATTTACATATCTAGGAAATGTTTTAACAGATGACGGAAAGTGTGACACTGAGATCCCAAGGCGCATTGGAATAGCCAAGGAAGCATTCCAAAAGCTAATCAGAGCACTAAGAAATAGAAAAATGTCGCCAGAAACAAGGAATAGATTATGTGATATCTGTCCTCCTGAGTGGGTGCTAGACGATCGCCTCAAAGAAGAAGAGGAGACTTGAAGCAACAGAAATATGGTTCTACAGAAGGATGCTGAGGACACGATGGATATTTGAGTAACGACAAAGTTTTGGAGAAAATTGAAACAAAAAGGAAACTAATACTTAACATCAGGAAGAGACAGTTGAGATTTCTGGGGCATATAATGAGGAAGGAGTGCTTGGAGAATCTGATACTATATATACAGATAGAGGAAAAGAGTGACAAGGGAAAAGAATGTACAACATACTTAGTGAGCTTGACTAAATGGATAGCGGAACAGGGCTTATGAGAAGTAAGACAAATTTTATTAAGAGCTACAAGGGACAAGAAGCTGTGGAGAGCAATAATCACCTACGTCCTGAGGGGGGACATGGCATTTAAAGAAGAATACTGGTATAATACTTTTTGTATACCTACTTTTGCAGCCCCTGTATATGGTTGCAAGAATGGCAAACAAACGATGTATCATCGTATTGCCTATGTGGCGGAAGGAAAAGAAAATATAAATTAACATGGAATGTATTGTCGACGTATTCAGTGACGCAAAAGGAGAAGAATATATGATGTGGGTGGAGGAGGTGACACTTGTAGATGAAGATCAGAATATAGGAAGATGGGTGTGAGATTGTGTACTGGCCTCAGAATGAAGCTGTTAGTGAAGGGAGATTGTTACCTTAACTTCATGTTAGTCCGAAAACTGCCTCGAGGCAGGCCCTTTTAAATACTCTGTGTGGTACATGACTCAGCATTTTTGTCATGCATTTTCTTTATTTGTTGTGAACACTAATTTTGTTGAATATGGAGAAGATAGTTGACATGGGTATCATTCAGGATCTACTTGCGCCTTGTTAAGCGTCCTCTTAAATTTGACGACAACACAGATTTTGCCATTTTTCTTGCGGATGGCGAAGCCCGCATTGCGAAGAACAGATGGCGAAAACCGGGCTGTTGAAACCTTTGGGATTTTCACAAAGTTCGATTATCCCTTCCATGTAATTTCAACTTTGACTTCGGCTTCTAGTGCTGGGCCATTGGATGTTGCTTTTGGTTGCGGTATTGACACAGATTTTGTCATTTTCCTACGGATAGCGCAAACCGAATGGCGAAGATCGGATTGTGAAGACCAGACAACGAAAGCCGAACTGTTGAAACCTTTGGGATGTTCACAAAGTTCGATTATCTCTTTCATCGTCATATGTGTAATTTCTAGTACTTGGGTCATTGGATACTGCTTTGGCTGCTAGATTGACGTTGCTTGTTATGCTAGCTGGTTTAATGAATTTTTATCGTCTGCAATACCAAAGATATCGGCGTAACTGATGTGTAGATTTAACCGTGGGATGATTGGGGAGATATAACCCCACATTTTGTTTCAGTCAGTCTAATTTTTTGTTTAATGTCTGGTTGTCAGGCGGAGATTTTACTGTAAGTTGTACTTCATTACTGACTAGGGCTCCATATGCAGGGTGGTGGATAGAAAGCGTATACAAGTTGGTGATGGAAGTATATGCGCTTCGATTGTTTATCGAGCACGATGTGAATGCATCGTGAATGAGAATCTTCTAAACGATCAAGATCGGCACGGTCGAGGTTGTGACATTTACCTCCATGTCTTTGAATACGGGTGAATAATGGTCTCCAAGGGTGATATCACAAGTGAATTCACTAAGGATGGAGATGTAGCCTCCAGTTCCACTAACGCGGATGTTTGATTGCACCATGTAACTTATTGCACCTTCTTTGGTTAGCCGAAAAATTGTCGACAGCCAAGTTGACTTTGATGAATGGAGATTGAAGTTTGAAGGAGACTGAAGTTGAATAAAGAGATGGTGGTATTAAGACTTGTGAACAAGCCATCACATTTCGTCCGGTCCCTACTGAAAATCCAGTTCGTTGTAGGGATTCATTTTTCACTTCTGTGTAAGTGGTTACGACGAACAGGATGGTGAAGATGTGGGCATGCGTGGCCCTTCATATAATTTCTGCAGACAGCAAGTCTACGATTTTGACTGGTGTGTCTGTCTGTCTGCTTCCGGTTCTGGTTGTATGTCGTTCAGCCATGTGTGTTCGGGTTGCCTGATTATCAAAGTAGTTATTGCCTTAAGTCGGCCAGCACTTGCTCAGGTTAAATGGGGTGACGGTTTGGTTTGTCTAATCGCTGCATTTTATGTGCGTATATTACGGTGGGAATAAGAGGGGCTGTGATGTCGGTTTTAATGCCCCAGTCAAGGTAGCGTTGTGCGTCACTTTCTAATACCGGTTGCCGATATTAGAAAGAATTTGTAATTGCTGCGTCCAACCAAGAAAATTGCTTTCAAATGTTCATCACTCAATCTCGTTACATGTGCTGAGTTTACTACTCTAGATTTTATAATGATTTCAGGAAAAATATATGACATAATTCGTCCTTTTTATATACGGCACTCTTGAAACCTGTTTAAACACGGCAATGCAAATTAAAACATGAACACTGTAGCAGGCTCGTAATCGCTTTTCTTAGAAATTTCATTGCAGGTACTTTCACAAAAAGCGCTCGGATATCAAAAGTTGCCGAATTTTTTATTTCATTGATTTTCCTAAAACTTATATCATTGTCAGATGCAAAAATCAGATTGACCAAATTTTGGCATTTTTACTTTCATTTATTTTAATTTTTTCTACATAGTAAGTTTAAATAAAATCTATTGACAATTCCTTATAAATAATTATATTTTAGCTCACTTGTGGTACAGTGCGGCGGCGGGTCGGATGAACTGAGATCGCGGGCCGGATTCGACCCGCGGGCCGTAGTTTGGTGATAGATAGCTAAGTCTTTGTTAGTTAAATCTATAACAAAACCTAATTAGGTTTTACGATATGTATACAATATGAATATTTATAAGCTAATATGTGTCTAATTTTATAAAATTTACGGTTACATATGAATGCTGAAAATACATTTATAATTGTTTTCTTTAACCTTTCAGGAGTTTTTTACGTGATGTCTTTCATAGCGCTGGTTGGTTCTGTCTTTTGTTATTGCTTTTTACCAGAAACAAAGAATAAAACTCTGGAGGAAATAGAAACATTATTTAAAGTAAAGGAAACTGAAAAACTGAAAACTGTCAGGTACCGAACAATCGCCAATGGACAAAGACAAGAACTCAAAGAAAGAAATGATTTGTATTAAGACTTTTATTATTACTGCAATAAATTTGGTTTTTATGTAAATAAAACTAAAGAAAACAAATACGACACCATGTTTCTTTTTTTTTTTTTTTTTTAACCAACAGATTGAGTAAGCGTTTATGAGTTTAACTTTTATCAAATCCTCTTCTGTTGTTGAAACAGATTTCAAATTCGGGATTTTGTGGGAGATATGTGCATAAAAAAATGATGCTTAAATAATTGTTACGGAAAATGTAAAGACTCTATGATTCAGTGTCAGATCTTGCTTAAAATACAGTGTGAGATACAGTTAAATACTTTGAACAAGTAATTCGAATAATCTGGATTATTTTAATTCCTTTGCTCTTTAAGGTGCCATTTGGACATCATCCACGTCCAAACTTTGGTAATTAAACATCATATATCACACTTTAAATCAGTCAAATAAATGCTCTATTTTACAAGCAAACGTAAAGAAGGTATTGTTCGCTTCTATTAATGCATCATTTTTTAAATGCATTATTGCCAAATTTGTTTTAACATTACTAAGCATAATCGTCAAGATTTTGTGCATAAAGGGTGCCACAAAATATGTCATCACATTTGTTAGACTTAGCCGCATATATTTGTTGTAACTAGCAAATAGTTATGAAAAAAAAAAGAGGGAGAAAAAATTATTAATGCATATTTTTGAAGGTTTGAGGAGAATGGGGATCAAGCAACAAGAAGCACTGTAATAAAAAATGGAGAGAGATACTTTGCTTTTATTTTAGAAATAAAATAAAAGCAAACTTTTACTAAATATTAGTAAAATTTGGTGGTTTGTGCGCCCGGAAAAGGGAGTAATAAATTGCGGGACAAGTAACTTATCTTTTCTAAAATAAGATTCAATGGTAGTTGTGGGAAAAGATCAAGTTTATAATCACTATTAATTAAATAACATGAGATATCACAAGATTTCAGCGTATACAAAACAATGCAAATTACAAGGAAGAAGGTACAACAAAAGGGTTTCAGTGATGTCAAACATAGTTAAAAAGGTATATTTACCTTGAAGGTATAACATGTGAATGTTCGTAATAGTTCTTGTGATTTGATGAAAGTTGTTGAAGTTCGTGACAGAATCCGTTTGTGCCTTCAGAGTCTTCAAAGTAGGGCGTTATTTTGAGAGCAGTACTTGTTCTTTGTCGTGGAAACGACAATTTGATTGTCAAAACTTCGTTGAGTGGGTTTTCGCAGTTGCTCGGTCAGGTTTTCAGATGTTTTTAGAAGGCATCGCGTCGTCCATTGCTCGGCGTCCGTCGCGTCTTCTTACTCCACCGTGTCGCGTCTCCCTATGCTCCCGGCGGTCGCGTCTACTACTCCTCGGCATGGGTTCTTCGACTGCTCTTGATGGTCGTATTGCATCGATTCTTATAACCAAAGGTCGACTCCGATTTATCCGAAAAATTTTGGCGGTCAACACAAGCCTTTTCAGATTTCAATCGACTCGACTAGCCATTAGTTAAAAAATCACGTTTATCAAAACAATTTAGTGTAGTAGAAAAAACACATTTTCTTCACTTTCTTTCACCGTCAATTGATCTCCGTCCACACTTTGGTCAAGGAGCTTTGCAAGCAGGATGGCAAGGTTTCCGGAAATTATTTTATTACCTTCATCCTTTCCCCACCCCCGTTCGTTTAACAACCGAGAGTTGAAATTAACTAAGAGAGAAAAATTAATTTTTAACATAGTTGGCAATTTTCATCTACAAGCAGAGAAAGAATAGACAGCTTGGAACATTGTCACTCATGTGTTTTCCCCTGCCAAAAATTTGTATTTTTTAATAAACTAGAGAGGGTTTTTAAAATGATCCAATCATTTTAATAGATATTATGTTCGTTTTTGACACGAATACTCCCCACTCTAGATTTGTTTAAAAAAAATTAAAAAAAGCCTTAAAATTGCTTATAAATAATTTTCTGTTAAATTTATTGAAAAAAATGTTCGTGAACGAACTGAGAAAAGCGGTTTATAATATTTATGAAAGTGAAAAAAAAATGATTACATATTTATCATTCCAGTCCGTGATGCAGGCAAGCGAATGATGCACTTATTGTCATATGAGAGTTTGCTGGTTTGTTTCACAATATGAGTGAACTGGATATTTGCTGATTTTTCAAGAAGTGTAGCTTGGAACCAAAGATGCCCAGGTTTAGTACCTATATATATATATATATATATATATATATATATATATATATATAATGATAAAAGGTTTCAATTATTAGCAACAATTTTACAAATTTTAAGAAGAATATAGAAATACTTTTCCACTATTATCTGCTGCATAAAATATGAAGGAACCCGAAACATTGTTACATTTATATTTAAAAAACAAACAAAAGATATATGTAAGAAATTATAATCTTTAATTTATGAGTAATTTTTAATCATTCATTTTTGACTGCATAGAAGTTGGAAAACGCAATGACTGAATTTCCTGTTAAACCTAATGTTCTAAATTTTCAACATATTTTTAACGTAGAAGTAGGTCTATTCTTCTTGAAAATTTTACCCTAAAGAAATATTAATTTAAGGAATTTTCTCTCATAACAATACAATTATTATTATTTTCTTTGTAAACTAAATTTCTGCTCATTTTCTGGATTCTGATTGTCTCCCTTAGAATCACAGTAACAAGAATAAGTGGTCTCCCTTGAAATAAAGTCCTTTGTGTTCAGTTTCAATTTTAGAACATTAAAATCAGTTATTAAAAATGTTTTTTAAAATATAAAACAAGTTTTTGTTTTATATAACTTTATTAAATATTTCCAACAATACTAAAATTTCTATTAATATTATAATTAATAGGGTTTGAAATTTCACAGAAGAATTCACTAAGCTATAATTACTGAGTTACAGATGATTAGTCAACAATCAACAGCGTGTCTTTTTACGTCGGAATTGGTTTTTAAGACAGTTTTTATTTTCTAATAACGTATTGCTTCAACTCATATCCTCTTGGTACCAGTTTAAAGGAGACCTTCTTCCAGATATTGTAATCGTTTCGTATAAGTTCGTATTTTCTTGAAATTATATGAACACTTTTTCCGACATATTTCAGTGAAATTTTCACTTTCCTGAAATAGAATTTATAATTATAGTTTAGATAAAAAGAAAAAAAAGATGGCCCCACTTTAAATTGACGCCATTAGCATATAGGTTAGAATAAATGAATTAAAATGCAGATTTATTACATCAGAAATAAAGGGGAACAAAAAAACGGCTATAAGAAAACATTTTTGTTGTTTTATTGTACATTTTAGAATTTTGTTTTTAAATATATCGCATATCCGGAAGAAGAACGATAGATAAAATCGCGGTAAATTTAATGATTAACAATGATTCATAGATTTACAGAAGTTGTTTGAAAAGAGATTATTAAAGTTAGCTGAAAATCAACACTATGGGTGGGATGTTAATCTAGTTCCTACTTAAATGATTCGTTTGGTTCCAAGAAAAGACCATGAATTTGAGCTTTGCATTTAAAGAAAATCACCATGGATCATATTTAATTTAAATATCTGGGATAGGGAATTCACAGAGGATTTCAGTTACCGACATTTTTACGAAATATAGTTTTTTAGATGGTTCTTTATTGCAGCAATAAGCACAACCAATATACCAAAGTCTGTTTTGTCGAGAACTTATATCAAAAATCGTCGAGAGATCAGCGCTTATTTTTTATTTTTTTTTTACTAATGTTTGTTGCGGACTGGTTGTTGTGTTTTTATTAATCAGAAGGAATTTCGAGGGTGTGTTCTAAAACATTCGTCCACAACAATTACTTAGAACAAATCATGCAAATAAAGTTGGAAAAAACAAGACAAAAGTTGAATGCATAACAATAACATAATTTAAATATATACAAATGAGTTGGTGATTTGCCGTATATTGGTGTAATAAGACATGTAGTTTGTTGTTGATTATGTTTGAATGCTTAAATCAATGTTTTGATGATTTATGGTAAGAATTAAACAGTTTGCTGTTCAACGTACAAAAGTGTTTGATTTTACAGTTCAAATGTTAATGTGTGTATACGAGTGTTATTGTAGATATTCTTAAGTTGTACGAAGTTGCGTACCTTGAACTGTTAATTGTTGAAAGGTTTTGTTTGTTACTGTTACTAATATGTAGTGAATATATATTTCACTTTCTCAAGTAAAGTAAATGAATTTTTGAGAAGTTTGTTTGATAGAGAGATTGAGTAAACCATTAGGTTGTTGAGTCAGGTTAATTCGCGCGGGAAAATCAAAGTTTAAATTGGCGTGGAATTGGTTGGCATCTCTCCGAGTGTGGAGTCCTGACTGTATGAAGTTGGTGATTTTCTTTAAACGTCTGGTCAGCGATGACTAAGACGGGAGTCGGTGAAATGTTACATCTTGAAAGTTGGTAATTACAGCTACTCTGCTCCTCCGCTTCTCTTGGAAGGTTCAAACGTTTTTCCTTATATATCCACCGGGTGGCTCACTTGAATTTGGCGCAATTTCAGTTTTGCACGTGAACTTAAAGTGATTGACCAATGGGGTTGCTTGCTTCGTTTCCTGCCATTTTTTATTGGTCGAAGCTTTTAGGTACGTAGGCGTACGTTTTGGACTCTGCTTTTGTTAGGTTGGAAAGGTAAGGATAATGGATGAGTCCACATGTTCACCCATTACAAGACCCAGGGAATTATATTCGCGTAAGAAAGAGCAAGATAATAGGAAAGACAGACAGCTAACTCTAGACTAGATTTAATTAGTGAATAAAATTTCAGAGTTCAGGCTGAGACGTTAGAATTATAGAGATGAAGTAGATTTTAGAAGGGC